GCCAGTGTGGACACGACACGACCCTAACGTGCCCCACACTTGACATAACCTAAAGTCCCCGAAGTGCAGGGCAGGTAAATAAACTTCTGCCTGTTGTACAATGGACAGAGTGGGCAGTCATGCAAACATAGACATGTCTACAAGAAGGTGACAGCATGAATCACAGGAGGTGACGTTACATAGAAGAAGCAAAGTGCTGAGGATGCAGTCGGCATTCCTGCCAAAAACACGCAAAAATGGCCTCAGCAAAGCCAAGACTGTTCTGGCTCCATTGAAGGGGAAGGTGCAGGAAACAGTACTACTCTGCCTGTGGCCTGGGTGCTGGGAGCAGAGTGTTCTCTTGATGAGAATCCATCCAGGCATTGGGTTTTGTAGCCTCTGCAAGCAAATGCTAGTGAGACAGCCCTAAAGACAGCACCGTGGGGAAGCAGACATGTGCTCTGGAAAGCTGCCTGAGTTGTTTGACATTTCCCTCTGGATTTGTGGGGGTAAATTTGTCAACAGCCAGATTAGGAAGGCCTGACAACTGAAACTCCACACCCCATTGTTGAGCAAGGCCCCGGAAGCCAAAACCCAAAGTGGAGCAATGTGTTCCTCAAATCTTTTGTTCTGAGCGCTTCACCTCACCTGTGGGCAGAGGCTGCTAGGAGCAGCCAGCTTGGTAGGTTAGGTGCTGGGTGAGATGGGTCCTTGGTCGGATGGGTGCTTAGGAGGTTAGGTACTTAGGAGGGCAGGCGTTTGGTTGGATCATGCATGCTTAAGGCTAGGAATGGCTGCTCACTGAAAGCTGAGCCTGTCCTTGTTTGTCACTCTTCCCTTCATGCCCCACTCACTGACATGTCCCTTAAGGGTGGATTGAAGTGCTCTCCTGCCTGGCCACCTGTAGAGTCCCCCTCTTCCCCTTCCTCTCCTGAAACATTTCATTCCACTCCCAGAATTCCCTGCTTTTGAGCCCTTCATCTCTGGTCACCTCCATCTTCCACTTTTTACCTTATTCCTCTCTTCCCCACTGCGCAAGCCTCACAGAGGGGTAGGGAGATATGTTGGGACCATAGTCAGCACGCTGTTCTAGATACCTGTTGCCTGCCCCTCTTCCTGCAAGAGCACCCCCGTTTCCTGGAAATCACCTTTCCCTTTGACCAGTCAGCACCTTGGGACTGGCACACACCACTCTTCAGAGTCATCCAGTCAGGTTGTCCTGGTGAGCTGGCTTCAGGGACAGACTCTAAGAATGGTCCATTCCCACCAAATTCAGAGATTTTGCTGGAAGAATCAAAAGAGAATCCCTTTTGTCCACTGGGCTGCCAAGGTGAGACAGTGTAATCCTGGAACTGCTTGAGGCCAGTGTGTAAAAACAGCCCAATCTGGGAAGGAAGTTTATCTAGGCACTGTCTTGGTTAGGGTTTCTTTTGCTGGGATAAACACCATGACCAAAAGCAACTTCGTTAGCACATCACAGTCCCATCACTGAAAAAAGTCAGGGCAGGACCCTGGAAGCAGGAACTGAAGCAGGAACCCTGGTGGAGTGCCGGTTACTGGCTTGCTCCTCCGGGCTTGCTCAGCCTGCTGTTCTATAGCTCCCAGGACCACCTGCCCAGGGGTGTCACCTCCCACAATGAAGTGGGCCCTTGCACGTCAATCCAAAATTGCCTCACAGGCCAGTCTGTTGGGGGTGTTTTTTCAACTGAGATTCCTACTTCCCAAATGACTAGCTAGTGTCAGGTTGCCATAAAACTAGCCAGCACTGGCAAGGGGACGCCACAGATGGTTCTTCAAAGCGGCAGTCTGAATGGAGTTCCCACCCCATAGACTCAAGAGTTTGAATGCTTGGCCCTCAGGAAGCAGGACTATTAGGAGGTGTGGCCTTGTTGGAGTGGGTGTGGCCTCGTCGGAGGAAGTGCATCACTCTGGTGGCCAGGTTTGAGGTTTCCAGTGCTTAAGCTCTGCCCAGTGTGGAATTCCAGTCTCCTCCTGGCTGCCTTCAGATCAAGATGTAGAACTCCTGGTAACTCCAGCACCAAGTCTGCCTGTGCACTGCCATGCTTCCTACCACGATGATGATGATGGACCGAACCTCTGAAATTAAGTCAGCCTCAATTAAATGTTATCGTTTATAAGAGTTACCTTGGACATGCTGTCTCTTCACAGCAATAAATCCCTAAGTAAGACCTGCTTATAGGGCACAAAAGACCCTAATAACCGTCCTTTAAGGGAAAGAATCCTGGCAGGTCCCATCTGTCAGTCAGAGTTCTCCAGAGGAGCAGAACAGAATATGGGCTACAAAGGAGGTTTTTTAGATGACAGGGCCTGGGCAGCCCAGCAGTGGCATCTGCATGCTAGAGTCTCTGAGAACTTGGTGGCCAATCAGTCCTTGAGGCTGGGTGCTTTGCCAATCCCAATCTGACATTGAAGGCTGCTGGTCTTCAGTCCATGTTTGAAGGCCGGAGAAGCCGGGTTCTGATGTCAGCATAGGCTGGTAGCAGTAGCATAGATGTGCTCACCAGCAAGGGGCAGGGGCAAAAGCAACACCATTTCTCTCCCTGTGTCTTATCTGCCCCCCCCCATAGAAGGTGCCACCCACCCTGGGAGGAGGGCTTTCCTCCTAAGTTAATCCTTTCTGGAAATACCCTTAGACCCGACCAGAAGTTTGTCTCTTAGCTGATCCCAGATCCAAGCAAGCTGGCAGCCGAGGCTAAGCATCCTGCCTTTGTCTGGAGATGGCATTGCCACCGAAGCCCCTTATCTTTCTATCCACAACAGGAAATAAAGCAAACTAGCCATCAAATAAAGCAAACAAGTCACAGGATTTGTTGTTGACTTTGACATTGTTGCTGTTACAAGGCTCTACAGAGAGCCTCTTGTCTTCTCAAAGAAAAGAATTCAGTCAAGGGACACGGACAGTTTAAATAAAAATTTATTCAGCAAAAACAAAGCTATACTTCAGAGAAAGAATGGAGTGAGATGTCCAAATGGGTCTGAATTATGGTTTTGAAGGAAGAGCTTATCATTATTTTTTATTGGTTTTGGTTTTTCAAGGCAGGGTTTCTTTATTTAGTCTTGGCTGTCCTCGAACTTGACTCAAACTCACCAAGATCCACCTGCCCCTGCCTCCCAAGAGCCAGGATTAAAGGCATGCAACACCTCTGCCTGGCCGATCTTATGATTATTTATAAGGTGTGATGTCTCTTTTCCATTCCCAAATCATGATTGGCCAGCTCTCCCTTTTAGGATATTCCCATGATCCTCTTGAAGAGCCCACAGAGAGGCACACCACGATATAAATGCTAGCATGATAAAAGTGAGGGTCTTCTGGAGATGCAGACCTTTGTTAATGCCCGCGTGTGGCATCTGGGAAAGATCTATGGTATCTTAGTCACTGACAAAATGAACAACCTATCTGGATGTTCAAGGATGCTTACCTGCAGAAGAGCATCTTGACCACCCGAGAACATAGCTACCGAGACACAGCCCCAGACTCCTCCATTCTCCATATTTAGCTCCTTGTGTCTCGTGTCTCAGAACTTCATTTTCAGAGGGGTCACAGGTGTGTTCTGAGTCACCTGCCCTGAATACTCCCTAGGTTGACACCAAGTTCACTAGTCTGTGGCTTGTGGGACGTTCTTCCTCGTTTTTAAATGTCATGTCATCTGTCTCTGTCCAACTTCCTGAAGAGGTCAGAGGCTTGTCAGAAGGCAGGGCAGATGCCACTGGATCCCATAAGGAGAAATGGGGTTTCTCAATACGGAACATGACCCCTTCTTCCTTAGTGAGTACATTTGTTTTCAGAACTCCCCAACAGTTTCCCAGGTGAGGTCAGGGTTACAGAACTTGGTGCCTAGTGCCATCTTCCCTCACTGAAGCAGGGGAGGGTTTCTTCAGCCCCCACACTGCATTCGACAAGTTTTCTGAGCCTAGTCTATAGTCTGCTGGACTCTGTGTTCGTCTGTGGTGTCCACACAAGGATGAAGGCTATCACCTAACCTCCCCCTCCAGAGCTGGCACTAAGGTCTCACACCCAGGGATCTAGGTGTGAGACCTTCTCCTGGGGTGGCCACGTGTCCCTAAACTCTCCAAGAACTGCCGCTCCCAGCCTTTTCCTCAGGCTCTCTTAAACTTTCCCAAGAAGCCTTTAGTGGGACAGATCTTCCCATCTGTGGTCAGCAAAGGGCAGGTTCGGTTACCACCACCTATATCATCTTCCTGATTGGCAGAACTCCAGTCCCCCTGCCTAACCAAACCCTCACGACTTCAGAAAAATCCCAGAAGCTCGGCCTTGGTTTTCTTTAATTTTTCTTTTCCTCCCTGGCGCTGGGCATGGGAGCCAGGACCTTGGGGCCATGCAAAGTCAGTGATCCGGCCCCGAGCTCCACCCCCAGCCTCTTTGTATTTCTTTATTGAAGAGATGTGGGCGAAGCTGAATGGCTGGACGTTGTGCTTACTCCTATTTACGAAAAGAGCCACATCTACTGGCCTCTTAAAGACACGCCTTTCGGAAGGCAAAGGGGACTCAGCCTGCCCCTCGCGACTTCCACGGCGTGTGGGTCCACGGGATCTTCGCTGGGACTCTGCTACCTCAGGCAAGACCAGCCTTGAGGGACATTTTCCTCTCCCAAACCACTCTTGCGCGCAAAAAAAAAAAAAAACGCCGCGCCCTGGTCATCTCTGCTGGAACGCTGCTCCGGAGCGAACCCGCGCGGCTATCGGGAGGCGCAGGGACGAAGGGGCGCTTCTGCGCCTGCGTACAGGAGCCGAGCGAGCGCCGCAAAGTGACAGCTCGCGAGTCACGTGGTGCCCTGGAGGCGGGGCTCCCGGCTTGCTCCAGGGCCCGGGAGAACTCGCACGTCACGCGCGGGGGAGGAGGGTGGGACTGGGCGGGGCGCTCCCTGTTGACTGACAGCTCTCCCCGCGACCCACCCGAAGGACCCGGCTGCTCGCGCGTCACGTGCTGCTAAAGGGGCGGGGCGGGCCCCGCTGACTGACAGCTCGCTCCGCCGCGCCTCAGAAGGACCGGGCACGGCTCACCGCGCGCGGCGCATCCGCGGCAGCTGCGGACCCGACGGCGTCCGCCCCCTGCCCGGTCCCGCGGGCCGCCGCGGACGAGAGGGCCTCGGGCTACGGGGCTGCGCTCGCGAGGGGCTGTGCGGGCGGCGTGGCTGCGCGGAGGACCGGTGAGGAGGGGGTCGCTGGCGGCGTGGGCGGGTCGGCTGGACGGCCGGTGCGGCGGACAGGGTTGTCACTCCGCCGGCCTCAGTGGAGGGCCGCGAGCCGGTCAGAGGCCACGATCGCGCCGGGGCCGCCCGGGAAAGCTCGGACACCGAGGCCGCTTCTAGGATTTGGGAAGACCGGCCCGGGTCTTGCACTGGTCTGCGATCTCCCGAGTTGCAGGTTGATGAGACGTGGGAAGGTGACAAGGGGAGGTAGGAAGCAGGCTCGGCGATCCAGTGCCGCACACGGGTGCGACCTACGGAGTGAGCGGGAGTGCGGCTCTGCCGGTGCAGGTGTGCTGGCACGGGCTGGGCCCCCGACGTGGAGCTGTCCGGGTGGTGAGTCAGAGGTAGAGGTGAGCTAGCAGCTGTCAGGTCGGGCTACCCTCGCCCCGGCTGGGATCCAGCCTGTAACCCGATGCTGAGGTTCTGATTCATTCCTTTCGATCTATCTCCTCCCTAATCCTGAAAGCAGGGCAGCCACACAGCATGAACCCCAAGACAGGGCAAAGAGGCTCGGGCGGACGTTAGTGAGCCACATCCCTTCCCTCTTTCCCATACTGTGGTCAGAAGTAGAGATCTTCAGGCCTTTGAGGACCAAGATGGCAGATAAGCTGTTTCGAAGGCCTCCGTGGAAAAAGTTCACACTTGAGATTTTATTTTCCCCATCAAACGCTGGTGATTTCTGGTTGGTGATGATGACCTATCTCAGTCTCTGTGGCAATCCAGAAGTTTCTGGGGATGATTGTTGTCTTTTGGATGGTCTGTGTCAGTTCATGTGGAGTAGATTTCTATCTCTTGAGAATGTCACAAGTATAACCATATCACAAGTCTTAAAGAAATTGAAGTGAGCTACCTTCACAGATGTTAAATGAAGTTCTCTCCTCATGGCAATGTTTGTTTCTTCAAAGGTAAGTGGTTTTATAATAACCCCAAATGGCGCTGAGGGAGCTTCAGAAGGAAGCTGTCTAAAAGGACAGCCTCCCAACCCCCTGCATCCCTAGGAAGCTATAGGGTGGGCAAGTCGTGTGAATACCCGGCTTTCTTTCCTTTTCTCCTTTCTCCATATTCCTTTCACAAAAGGAAAATAATCGGGTTAAAAGAAAGGCCAAGGAGCTGGAGAGAAGGTTCAGCAGTCAGGAGTACGTACTGATCTTTGAGAGGACCAGAGTTCAGTTCCCAGCACCCACCTTAGGGGACTCCCAGCCACCCAGAACCCCAGCTTCACAGAATCTGGCACTCTCTTCCTCCCTCCTCAAGGACCTAGTCACATGCATAAAAAAAAAAAAGTTAAAAAAATAAAAAAACTAAAAATTGAGATTTCAAACGCCAGATGCAATGATATAGACTTGTATTAGTACTCCAGAAGCTGAGGTAAGCATATCATGGGTTCAAGACCACCCTGGGTTGTATAACAAGACCAAGTCTAAAGAGAGGAATCAAAAACTGACTGACAGCCCACTTCAGGAAGGAACTGCAATAGGAGGATGACTTTTATTGCCCTGGTGTTCTCTTTCTTTGGTAGCTTACAGAGTACTTCCAACAGGATCTCCTTGTTCAGCTTCACTATTAATTTGGGAGTGGCAGGTGTCTTTCCTCCTATGACACAGTTGAAGAAACCAAGACTCACTTGTCCAGGGCCACTTAACCGTTGGAGGCAAAGAGAGCTCCGCAATAACTTGGTTGCTAAAAGTGCTGGGTATAGTAGTTCATCACCTCAGAGGACGTGAGATGGGTGTGAACAGAGTCTGCCTCCTGCTGGGCTGGAGGGCTGAGTGGAGCATCCTTCTCTGCTCTCCTCGCCTCACTGACAAGTCAGCCTGGCTGGCTGACCAACGTCACCATACTGTTACCTCTCCCTGTGCCCTCTGTGGCAACTCAGATTTGTTTCCAGGCTTTGAGAAAGCCAGTAGGAAGTACATTGCGGAGCATCTTTGCTCAAGTGCTTAGTTTCCAAACAGGTCAGGTGTCCTCAGCTATGAAGCAAGACAACGTGGCAGTTCTGGGGAGACCTGCCCCAAGGATCTTTCTTTTCATCTCCCGACTGGAAGAGAAGCATGATGAAATCCGTGGAGGTACTGTCGGCTGTGCCGCATCCACCTAGATTTTGTACGTGGCATTGTTGGAGGTTTTGTGGCATTTTTTTTTCTATTTTTAGCATACACAGCTGCTCTTGTTAGGGAAGAACAAGCTTTTTATCCTATTCTCTAAATCTGGGCAGCACCACAGGACTGCAGGGGGTTACCTTATGCCTGTCTCTGCAGGTCAGTGGTTCAGGCCAGACCGAGAGCCAAAACAGTCTTAGGTACATGTATCAAAGCCAAGGTCTGAGCTGAAAGGTTTCATTTACTGCATGCCTCGGGGACTGTGCTCTTTTCTGGATAGCACATTTAATGAAGGTCACAGGAAGCCATCCAGAGTACTCATTGTAAGTTGCTACAGAGGTGCAGGAACCGAGCTGGTAAGCCAGGAACATCTTGATGGCCAGAATCACAGAACATTCAGGGCTGTTCCTGGTAAGATCCCAAGAAGCAAAGGACAAACAGTACAGTCAGAAGTATTGTTTGAAGACTGCCGTGGTCTCTCAGAGTGAAGTTCAGACTTCTTCTCTTAGGCTGCCAGGCAGTGACACAGGTGCTGACTGGTCTCACCTGACTGATCTCCAGTGTCAGCAACTACCCCAGTCACTCCCAGAAGTTTCTCCTTAAGCATGCCTAGTCTGCTGTGCCACAGAGCCTGTACACTGTTCCTCCTTCCAGATTTCCTGGTAGGCACCTCCCTATCATTCAAGTAACCACTCCTATGTCACATGTTAAGTGAGACCTTCCCTGATAGTCAAAATGATCTTCCTGTTCCCTCAGTCCCCAGCCCACTCCCTTCAGCGTATTGCACTATTCTTCATCTGTATTAGAAATAACCTTGTTTCTTTGAGAATTTTTTTCTATTATTATCTGTCCATTGTTTGCTTCTGTATCAACGCTCCCAGAACAGTGGCTGGCTTGTAGGAATGCTCAGTGCGTACTTACTGTAGGACTGTTTACGTCAGAGCCTGGCAGGATGGGAGGAGGTGCTACTGAGGTAGACACTGAATCGGCTTCTCTTACGGGAGATAGCAGCTGACCAGTGGGCAGAAGAGTTCGGGCGTGGTGGATGGGAAGAGAAGCCAAGTGATGGGCTGTGTCAGTCTCCTGGAGGAGCTAGCTGTAACAAAGTTCAGTAAACTGGGTATCTCAAAATAATGTAAGTGTATTCTCTCAGTGGTTCACAGAGCAGAAGCCCAAAGCTGAGGCACGAATAGAACCATTTCCTTTTCATGGATTCAGTTTCCATGTGTCTATCTTTCAGCTGCTACTGGTTGCTAGTGAGTCCAGGCATCCTTCCCTTACAGCTGAAGCACTCTAGCCTCTGCCTCTGTGGTCACATGGTTGTCTCCTCTTGTCTGTGGGTCTTCTCTTATAAGGGCGTCAGTTAGACTGCATTTGGGGTCCACTGTATCTTACCAGTCACACCCATAACTATCCTTTCCCCAGTGAATTTATTTATTCATACTCACATATCTGGGGATAGAACTTCAACTGACATTTTTGTGGGCATGATTCAACTTAACATCTCCCAACTAACTACAAGATCGAGTGATCTTTAGTTAGATGCAGTGGCGCTCACCTAGCACTTGGGAGGCTGAGGCAGGAGGATTACAGCAAATTTGAGACCAGTTTCATAGTAACATGGCTCTAGAGTAAGACCCTATTTCAAAACACTAACAAGCAAATAAACAAAAAACAAAACAAAAGCCTACAAAATATAGTGACATTTTAACAGGACAAATTGGCGGAAGGTGCTTGGTGATGTTTAGGAAGAGTGACAGTGACTTAGATTTGTTCTTGGAAAGCGGCCATGATCCTCCCATCTTCAGAGGAGGATGCGCTGTGTGCTTCACGGCAGGTCCTGGGACAGGATTTCCTTCCTCAGCTTTTTGCTGGACTTCGTCCAATGGAGTAGAACTAGCTTGTCTGTGTCTAGCAGGTAAGGCTACTCCATCCCCTTCTGTTCACTGTGGACTTGACACCTCTGTGTGGAGGAGGTGCTGACATCAGGGAAGCTGTACCCTCCCTCTGTCATTCCCAAAGACAGCTGCTGAGCCTGTAGGGACACGAAGTCTCTGACCTTGACCCTTGACTAAGGCTGAACTCTTCAGGAGCTCCCGCCAGGATGGTTTGAGGTTTGTGGTGAAAGAACCCTGCCCTTCTCTCACTGGCTCTCTAAATCCTTATCTTGTTTTGCTTATTTTGCTTTGAGATGGGATCTTGTTGTATAGCCCAGACTAGCCTATTGCTCACAATCCTCCCTCAGTTTTCTAAGTGCTGGGATCACAAATCCATCCAGGATGCCATTTTTGTTGTTGTTGTTTTTTGTTTTTGTTTTTGTTTTTGATTGGGTAACCCATGTGGCTGGTATAAAATTCAAACGGCATACCAAGATGTTAGTGCAAAGTTGCTTTGATCTTTCTGCTGTCCTCCGCACCTCCACAGGCACCATTCCTGTCAGCATCTTGGGGCTCCTTCCAGAGACCTGATGCTCTTTTTATGTTTTCTTTCCCAGTCACCACAGGGCTGTTGCTGTTGCTCCTTCCAGCCTTCTTTCTTCCTGTCTCTTCTGTGCCCAGTGGACTGGCTTGTTCCCATGTGTTCAGAGATGATGACACTGTCCCTGCCAGGAGTTCTATATTGGGAAGGAAAGTGCTAGAAGAAATGATTTGGTGGTGCCACATTTGAGATAAATGTGAGGAAGTGCTTCTCTGGAGGGGTGGTTTTCAGCCTCCTGTTTCTTCAACCTCATTAGCTAGGTTAGTGCTGACAGGGCGGCTGAGGAACGGGACCCTGGGAGCAGGGTCAGTTCCCAGGGTATGACATTGTCTGGAGCCTTATTATAGCTGGCCATTAGTATGGGGTACGTTTGCCATGACA